TAAGCCTGTCATTCGGAAGAAGAAGAAGAGGTAGAAGTGGAAGACGAAGAGAAGCCATGAATGAATTCTGATAAACGTTGTGGTACCTTGGGATAAGGACATTGTGAGGGTTTGGTTTGTTTTGTTTTACGGCATTTCAACCACAATGGGTTATTTAATGCCGACAAGATTTTATTGCTGTTAATATTTATTTTCAAAAATGTATTTCTGCTAATTTTTTTTTCAAAAATATATTGGTGGTAATAATATATTGCCGGTAATATTTTTTCTTCAAACATTCATTGTTATTTCTTTCTTTGTTTTGTTTGCGGCAAATCAACCTCAATGGGTTATTTAATGCTGACAAAATTTTTATTGATGGTAATATTTTTTTTCTTTTTTTTTCAAATGTATTGCGGGTAAAAAAAATTCCTTTAAAAATCTATTTCTGGTAATATGTTTTCTTCAGAAATGTATCGCTTGTAATATTTTTTTATTTTGAAAAATGCATAGCTGGTAATATTTTTGTCAAAAATGTATTGCTGGTAATATATTTTTTTTTCCAAAAATGTATTGCTAGTAGTAATGTGTTGCTGGTAATAATTTTTTTCTTAAAAAAACTTATTGCTGGTAATAATTTTTTACAAAGTATTTCTGGTATTAAAACCTATTTTTACACTTTCATAGTGTTTTGACACTAGTTTGGTGGTTAACTATTTATATATAGCTGGGACCCTAACAGGTGCTGCCACTCCGGGTCAGGGTGGGCCTGGGGACACCAGCAATTAAGAGATGGTTCCACGCTCCTCAAAACCTCCAGATCCAAGGCCTTGCTGTTGGATGTAGTTTATCGTCTTACCCAGGATTCGGATGTAGTTTATCGTCATACCCAGGATGGACATTGTGAGGGAAGAGCAAGCGAAATTACAGATACTGGCATGGTAAATCGGAAAACTGTACCAAGCATCAGCCCAAATTGTTCCTGTTGTGGCTGGCACAATCGAGACTATCTCTAGGAATCTTTCTGCCTTGCAAGACGGATACCTGACCTCATTGTGAGTACACAGATGGTAACGCTGCTGGGAAAAGGTCATGTACTAAGGAAAGTTTCTCTAATTTGCGAGTAGGAGCTGTAGCATGAACGTCATCTGGCCGAAACATCTAAGAGTCGGAGAGTATCTAATAATAATAATAATAATAACAGTGTACGAATTTCTGTCAGGATTATAAATGTATATACAGGCATAAATAATTGATTGATTGATTCGTGGTTTCTCCGGCTTATTAAACCTTTGCTAGAAAATATTTTAAGTTTGTAAGAATTTTTGTTGAGATAATAATCATTTAGTGAAACAATTCCAACTCAGCTGGGTGGAGGAGATGTAGATTCATACCTTTCCTAAGAATATTTGTACGTTAGTGAATATAATGAACCCAATTGTAATTGGAACTCGGTTCTCCGTTAACAATTCCGAGGCTTTATCAAATTACACCACCCGCACATCCAAGGTTAAAGCACCTGGTATTCCCACGCCGTCACCAATTTGGGCAGCAATATATATATATATATATATATATATATATATATATATATATATGAACATAGAAGTCAACACTTAGAGGCGACAGTCTGTTTCATGCTGTATGCAATCGTCAGGCCTGACGATTGCATATAGCATGAAACAGATTGTTGCCTCTAAGTGTTGACTTCTATGTTCACTTTTATTTTACACACTCTATATCTGATATCGAGCACTTTATCCCATAAATATAGCACACCTTAAGACTATATTTCTTCATATATATATATATATATATATATATATATATATATATATATATATATATATCTTATGCACGTTATCATAGGATTTCAAGTACATTTTCATCCTGTTCAACACAAAAACACACGTATGAAGACATAATCTTTCCCCTCTCCCGTTCACTTTCTAACAAACGCAACTACTTTCACCACTGTCTCCCACATTTCCTTTTTCTCAACCAGTAACAAAATATCAATTTGTCATGTTGAAATGTCCGCAGACAGGCAAAGCCTGTGAAAAGCTGAAACATTTTTTTCATCATCTTTCTCTTTCTTTACCAAAATAAGACTCCACTGGTACGTTAGCCAAACAAAATTCTGTGCCTACTTGCAATTGTACGGATTGATTCAGCCAACGGGGTGGGTAAGCACTGCATTTTGGAGATAGAAATACATATGTATCACTTGGTAAATTGACAAGTAATCATTCAGCCGACTGACCAGTACGGATTAGTAAGCACTCATAACTAATGAAAAAAGAAAAAAAAGAGAGAGTAAAGAGAGAGATAAGGGAAGGGAGAAAAATCTCAATAAGTGACTGGGATTTAGTGTGATTAAGCGGCTGGTTGCATATCGTATTCATTCGCTTTTTATCCGGACCGTTTGTTTTCTATGTCTGCCAAGGATCTGACACTTCATGCTTCTCACTAACCGTCTGTGTCTCTTTATTCGTTTGCACTTTCCATATCTTTTTCCTGGGTGTAACTCTCCAGTATTCTTTCTGAATTCATATCTATCTATCTATCTATCTATCTATCTATCTATCTATCTAAGTCTGTTCATATCTATCTATCTATCTATCTATCTATCTATCTATCTATCTATCTATCTATCTAAGTCTGTTCATATCTATCTATCTATCTATCTGTCTGTCTGTCTCTGTTCATATCTATCTATCTATCTATCTATCTATCTATCTATCTATCTGACGTTTGCCTAGAGGCTGGATAAGGCACTCAGGCTGGAGCGTAAGTATAGACTAGGATTTCAAATGCTGATTTTCCAAGCAGACAAGGCGTAAATATCTATTGAAAGTCTTACTTGGTAGCTATGATAGTTGCGTATGTATCAATGATGGCTCGTGAGAGCTACAAGATCTAGATCATATAAATATTCATCCTTCGATCTGTTTCCAATATTATTTCTGTTGTGGATTCCGGGTTGAAATCCGGTACTAATAAATAACAAACGTCAGGAATGAATATAGGAAAATAATGTATTAACGTAATAATACAAACTGTTAAAGCAGGTTAGTAGTTCCAGGAATACGGGTCAGTAGCAAAATATATATACAGTCTTTGGTATTGAAGTATCGCTGTATGACTTCTTATTGAGTCTACGTGCTCGCTCACTGTGACTCCTACAACACTGTTACCTCACCCCTCACTCTTCCGGTTACCTACAACCTTTTACTCTGTCACTCTCGACTCGACTCTTCGGTCTCGTCTCGCTCTTGCACTAGTATATATATATACAGGGTGAGTTCATTTGTATAAAAAGGGGTGGACCTCTCAACAATTTCCAATACTATTTTTAAATACTACTTTGAAAATAAACATTTGTTTTTGAACGTAGCCACTCTTTACAGAATGATTAAATAAATAAGCAAGTACTCTTTTTAGCTATTAATACATAATTAAATGATATATTGAAGCGTATTTTATATTTCCAGAAATCAAAAATATTACAGTAAGATCTAGCAAGTGTTCCTTTTACTTGCAGAGATGAAGTTTGCTTGGATTTAGTATACAAGATCTCAAACAATATAGCAGAGGTTGGAGGCTGGAGGTATGTGATAGCTAATATCCGTTGGAGGTAGTAGGAATGTTGGCATACGCTTAACAATACCTCCAGTTCCGCGATTCCGGAAAAGGTAAAAGGTAAGATTTGTGCCTAGTCAGTTACCAAAGATTTTTTTTTTCACTTGTAATCCGGGCACATTCACACTAGAATTTGAGCCTGCCTGAGACATTGTATATGAAGTCTAAGAAACCTCCTCTTTGTAAGCAGAAGGAATAGTTGCTGGATTTTAATGTAATTTTACATTTATCATTTTGTGGCGAGAGAATCTTGTGATGTGTGCTATAAGTTTTACGGATGTTAGTAAACTCTCATAGTTTTAGCTTTTATTTAATCAGAACAGCTGCGATCAAGTAGAATGACAATACAAACTGAAAGACAATTTGAAGAAAAAAAAAACTAACGCTTGGGGCATCCATGAAATTCGACTTGCTCATTTTAGTCCCATGAATATATATGTTTTAACATATTTAGCATTTACCAAATTATTTCCTTTTATTTCAAGTAAAATCAAGAATAAATATATTTTATTACAATCGTTTTCAGTTATTACACACATCATTTAACTAATCTTAAAAGAATGATTAATATATTTTTATTAATATTTTCAGTTCGTTGCATTTGTAAAACACGTATCACTCGCAAATAATTTTCGAAAAGTGCGGCGAAGTTATGAATTGATTTAGATAAAACTTCCTGCAGTAGAATGATAGTGAAGTGCAATCTTGAAAGCCGCTGCTTCTAAGTTCAGTTAGTCCTCTTCTTGTACTAATATTGGTTCTGTACAGCGATACACATAGGTTCATATATTAAGGCGGGGAGAAATATGAAAGTGGAGCAGGATTAATACTAGAAAAATACATGAAGAAAGGTGATCTGGGATACTGTCAACTATTTGACAGAATCCTTGTAGTCAATCTCGTTTAACATATCAATTATAGTTGTGTGCGCTTCTGACAGCAGAAAGCACGGAACTTTTACAGTATAACGTCAAGACACGATGCCAAACCGCAAGAAATTAGTATAACCGTGGGAAAGGTGATTGCCAAAGTCGGAAAGAATCAAGAAGGAGAAATAGCAACCGGCGAAAGATGCGTCTAGTGATTCCCAAGAAATAACCAAATAGCAGCCAACACCTGGTTTCAAGGACATCCAAGAAGTTTATGAACATAGAGACATCCGGGAAGAGACACGAAGAATTCGATTGTATAACTGTAATACATATCCAAGTACCTACTGTGGGAGTGGCCATTTTCTAGTCTAGCCACCTCAGAATAAAGACAACGGAAAATAAAGAAGACCAGAGCAGAGCCGAAACAGCAATACGACAGACTCCTGAATTACAAGTTGCATAGAGATGTATGCTGACAGAATTAAAGCAAATATAACTTGAGAAATCTTATGGCACGAAGAAGAAGAAGAAGAAGAAGAAGAAGAAGAAGAAGAAGAAGAAGAAGAAGAAGAAGAAGAAGAAGAAATGCATTGATATTATTCTGTATTTTGCAAAACACTAATAAAATTAACAAGTGAAACTTGCAAACAGGCAAGTGAAAATTCAACGTTTTTCGTTTTATAAAATCAGCTGACTCCTCGAAGTTAAATATGGGCTAAAACACATTACGCAATTTTTAGTTTCAGCTTAAATGCTGTACACAAGTAAGATCTCGGTTTATAATTTTGGGTCAGTAGTCCTTTCTAACCAATCAGAAATAGAACACATCTTTTTTAACCAATCAGAAAAGAGAAAAGCATTTTTCTCTAATCAACGAGCAATTCATCCAAACATGTGGTCAGTAATGATAAAAAGATTACCTGATGGAAATACCAGGCGCTGTAAAATTGGATGTGCAGGTGTTTGGATGCAGGTAATTGATAATGGCTCGTAATTAGAAATCGGAGAGCCGTTATATTTACTTACGCGCGAATTACCCTGGGAATGGTTAGAAACTACCTCTTCCCCCCCTCCACAGCTATAGGTTAATTAGTAGGACATGTATCAGTCAATCATCAAAAAAAATTCTTGCAATCTGAAACTACTTTCTGGCTTATTTAAAGCCAGAAAGTAGTTTCAGATTGCAAGAAAAAGTTGATAAGTTAAAAAAAAAAAAAAAAAATCAGCCAATCGTATTTTCAAAGGTATATAAATTACAATCTATTTTAAGTATATTTTTACAGTCTTAATTCATTAATATTTTCTATCTGCAGATGTCATCGAACAGGAAAAGCGTGCATGAATTCCTGAAAGACACGGTTACTAAAATAAGCTATCGAGGACAGCAGATGCCAAAAAGTAGTCGCCGAATAATTCAAGGAAAATGAGTTAAAAAAACATCTGGTCAGTGTTCACCCACTCCTTTCTTAGAAGTATCTGGCGTATTTTGGGAATATGGAAGTAAACAGAGATTGAAGAATATGAAGAATACGACTTTTGATCAACAGACAGCGTCTCGTGTCAGTTTGGAAGTTGTTGCATGGTTATTTGGCAGAGCTACGAAACAACATACCATTTCAGAGGAATGAGCAAGCCAGTAAAAATAGCTGGAGTCATGTGTGGGCTAAGATAATAAAAATGGCTGAAATCATGTGAAGGCTAGACAATTCCAATCGTTTGAATGATGCTGCTTTTGATTGACAAAATGACAAAAGAAAGAATTTGCAATCTTAATGAGAATGTGCAAAAATGATTACTTTCATAAAGAATTGAGTGTATCTTGCCGTGCAACTGGAAACTATAGACCCGAGCAATTAGTTCCACATGATGCTGGATGCGCGATTCCGGGATGAGGATGAAACTGGAGAAAAGCGAACAATAACTGAGTAGTAATAAAAAAAACTTAAAAAAGACAACCACTTCTGAGAGATTCTGGAATTCCACTTGACTAGTTTATTTGGAAAAGTTGCCTAACGTCTTCGGTCATGTGGTTTCATTGAATAAGCAACCGCAAGGAAAATAAAGGAATATCAACTCAGCTACTTGAATGATTTCTCCTGCAGCATGTAACTCGCTTCGAGTATGTTAGAATAGACTTTGCATTTACTTTCTCACTGTATTTTTACAAGTTTTCTGCTCTCATTTGCTGTGATGCCATCGCACAAAGGCTGTCCTGTCAAAAGAATTTAAAAGGATGCGAGATCGACCTGTATACATTGTGAATTCGTCTTTAGTTTATCTTTACAGCCAGTGTTGGTTTACGTGTGTGATTTGATTTTCGTTCTTCATTATTTTTTCCCCAGTTTCTTATTTTAAACTTTTATGGGACCTTACCCATAATAACATAATGGACTATTCCATACGTAATAAATACTGCGCCTCAAGAGGAAGCAGAGAGTTCAGTCCGAAGTCGGGCGACCGGCTGATCGGCTGATCGTTTGAACTCTCTGCCTTCGGGCGGGGAGGAACCCGAAGGAGGCTACGCCGAAGGGCGGAGTCTCTTTCGGGGAGGCAAACCGACCCTGAACCCGTTTATACTGGTTCAATGGGCATATTTTTTGCCGATCCCATGGGCTCGGAGATCCCACGTTAAAAAGGCCTTGTGCCACGTGACGCCCTCGTGGGGGGGGTGACTAAATACAGTTCAGTCTGAAGTCTGGAGTGAGGTCCGTCAGGTGTCTGTCAGTCAGTCAGAGCGAGTGAGTCAGTCAGTCGAGTCAGAGGCAGTCCAAAACAGAGTCGCGTTCAGACAATTACTACTAAACCTGATTGTTCGTACTAACACTTTCTACCTCTCTGTATATATTCCTGTTTGTAATATATCTGTGTTATTTCATATCCGTGTTCGAGTTCTTCTTTATTGGTTCTACCTTGGACTATCACAGTGGTACAAGAGACCGGACCATAACATAAACGAAATGTAAAGGATTGATTGATTTGTTTATTTATAACGGTTTATCAACCCGTTGTGAGTTATTTAATCCGAAAACATATTTCGGATTGTAGGAGAATGCTTACAGTATCCTGTTTTTCAATTGGTCTCCTATTTCATCTGAACGCTTAAATTCGGTGATCGAACGAGAACATCTAAAGGAGTGATTTATTTTACATTTCTTTTTTTACTTGAATTCATATTTCATTGAAATTTAATCTGGTGCTTCTGCTATATATTTTGAGATTCCTGATAAAATACAAAGAAGAATCTCCAATATCGCGGCTTCAATCACTTTCCCGCCGCCATAACGTAGTTTCCCTCTGCCTTTTGTATATCTATTTTCATGGTAGTTGTTCTGATGAACTTTTCTCTTTGGTACCTAAACTTTATGAATTTAAGCGCAGTACTAAATTGGCTCTAAGGTCTCATCATTTTACAGTAGAAATTTCTAGATATAACTGTAAAGTTCTATGCTAACAATTTCTTCTCTTGCACTTCTCGCCTGTCGAACTCTTTCCGCTTGTTTAATTCCCAGTCAAGTTTGATCTTCAAAAAGTTTAGTGGAATATCAATCATCTTCTGTCTTCTTAATTACTGTACTTTTATTGTTCTTTCATTAATAATGTTTTTCTTTTCTCATATTCTCCCGATTTAAACATAGATACAAATTGTTTATTCGTGTATGTTTCTGTGTGCGTACCTCTGATGGTCGCTTCATATCGAGGTGGAAGGGCTTGCGTGGTCCAATGACTGACAGCGATTTCGTTGCGGCGTGGTCGAAGATGAAGACCCAGACTAAGCGCAACCAACCCCAAAGACTCCAACGGTGGAACAAGCGGGTGATGATTACAACAGATCTCAACGGTTGAACCAGCGGATGAAGAGGGCTACGCATAGCGGACATGCTATAGAAGGCCACACTCAAAATTCTAACAGAGTCAGCAGCAGCCGGTTGCAATTTCATAACTGGATTCTGCATGATTGCTATAGAAGGCCACACTCAAAATTCTAACAGAGTCAGCAGCAGCCGGTTGCAATTTCTTTCAATACTTTCTTCTACTCGGATTTTCTTTCAACTCCAACCAACTCTTGCTGACCGGGGCAAGTTTTGGTGAAACTATAAGTTTCTAGTCGTGAACCTGCACGTTAGCGGCGAATTTAGTCGTCAACGCCATCATCATAAAGAAGGGGATCAGCAAAGAAGCAGTAAAATTAGTGGCTTCATTGTCTTGCTTGTGGGCGATATTATTAAAAAAAATGAACAATTAAATTTAGTACGCAACGATGAACTCATTTCGAAGGAAGGTCGGCACAAATTTCCTAACCTTCACGAATAAAAATAGCGGAGGAAATTATTTCGATGATCGCTTACAGCGGCGCCTGTTTTAATATGGACCTCATTTCTAATAGAGTAATTGCACCTATCATTTTATCTGAGTATTATTTCAATTTCGCCTATTTTTCATTACATGTTTCCTTTCCATTTTAATCTAATTTGTACTAATTTATAAAGTATTTTACATGTAAATTCCATTGGCATTGTATTAGCGATGATGTTTATCTACGCCCATCATCACGATGACCGGTTCGACAGATGGTCGTAATTAATGTGAAATTTTATGTGTACAAGAGGGGATTTTCATAAACTGCCCATTTACCTTGGTATTTTCCTTTTGGGATTTTTCGGGCATTCGGAATTGAACCTGACTCTATTCCCATGAAGTGTAACGGAGGAGGTACTGGTTGAGGGACAGCCGCCTGATAGCGAATTAGCGATAGACGATATTTATTGTGGAAAACATACCTAGCGATAGACGATCTTTATTGTCGAAATATACCTATCGAAGCTTTTATCGCAGTTATTACAGAAGTGTGTCTAGTGAGCATACACTTGCAGCTAAAAATCAATTCTGCCTGAAAATGTTGTAAAACTTAAAGGCCAGAAAAATTTCGAGAACTGGACTAATTATTTAAACGTTTTCTGACTAAACTGTTTACTGCCTTCTAAATAAATTATTTCCACGCACGCTTAATTTAACTCTATTTAAATATTTATTTAAATCATAAACATTGAATATAACCTAAAAATTATTTGCATAATTGTGCAATGTACTGTAGATGATATTTGACATAAGGTCAAGTGACGATATTGGGATATTATTTCATTATTGTTCACCCTATACATGGCCCAAGAACAACCCGAGCTAGAGGGTTACTGAATAAGATTATTGTAAGGGTTAGGGTAGGAGGACAGTACATATTATGAGGATATGTAGGAGATATGTAGGAGATATATCGGTTGACGCTAGATTAGAAATGGTTAATAATGGCTGGGGAAGTATCCTCTTGGGAGTCTTTTCTACAGAGAGAAGTTTTGTGGAAAAATATGACCGAGTGTAACTTAATCTTTACGAATAGAATATGAATGGAATGATTTGATGTCGTGTATGTGGCACGGCGGGCCATATCTGTGAAGGTCTGAACTGGTGGGACTAAGGAACGTAGTTCGTTTGAACATTTGCCATACCAATAGATATAGATTAGTGAGAGACTAGTAAGGCTTCATCTGTGAGAAAGATGCTTCAAGGGAAGACTATATGGTTAAGCTACAACTATATAAAACACTGAACACTGATGGAAGAAAACTGGAAAAAACATCTGGAAAAAGATCAAGCATTGTTGTGGAGTGATTTCGCAGTGGGGACTTGTATTTGTACTAAGTCGGTCCTAAAATAGGTTCGACGTAAAAAACGTTAGGCACTTGATATAATAGGTATAACGCAGAGTAATCTAGTTGTGGTCGCTGATACTTTAGTATTCGACTAACTGTCGTCCGACATCGGCTGACTGACCGACTCACTGACAGACTCCCTCGTTACTCTTACTACTCCTACTTATTATAGGCAGGAGAGTCTATGAACAATAGAATAGGTGTGTTCCACTATAACAAGCATTTGATAGGAATAACCAATCTTGAGAACTGAGCATACAATAACGTAACAAAAATATGGGATAACAGAATATAAAGATAATGGTAGATAGCAACATTCTATCTTAAAGTCATGAAAATATCCAGACCTGTATTCGTTGTGCTTTGAGATCAGGTGGTCAGTATAAAACAAGCCATCTTTGAGTTTCATTTTGGGAGAAGAATCCACTCGTGACACCCTTATTCCAATATCTACGTTTATTACATATTCAGATTAAATGCTTTATCCGAGAATGTTCACAGTCTAAATTAAGGGCTGGGAAATCTTTTCCTGAATATTTTTATAAAAAAAGGGTGGTTGGAATGAAAATGGTTCAAGTGGATTCATCTCTAAAAACGAATAATTGTCTTGGCACAACTATTTCAAATTATCGGAGTTCTAATGAAACATCATAGTGATGTTAGACGATAGGGGTGTTTTATTTCTGAAATTTTGGTGACATTTGACATTCCTCGATTTACAGTGTTACGTATGCACCAAGAATACTTAATAGAAGATATTACCCCCGACCGTGGATACAGTAGTGGCCGACCAAGGGTTCTTAATGATCGTGACCAGATGCGACTGGGTAGATCACATTCAAGTTCATTGCGGGTATATGACGGGTATCCGGCAGATCGGTTTAGCGTTCTTTCGCTTCCATCGAGCACGGGAGTAGAAGACCCATTAGGGTAATCCCCTTAACACCACGACACTGAACACAGCTGTTTATTTGGGTTCATGACGTCGCTAACTAGACCCTGGGGGAGTGGCAATTGGCTTCGTAGCGTAAACAATCGTGATTCCTGTTGTTTCCGGCTGATGGAAGAGTTCGAGCGTAGCGCAGACTCCCATCATGCCATGAATCCCAATTTTCAACAAATTGCTGGTAGTTCCATAATAATGTGCGATTTATTCACGTCTTATGGATTGTGTTCGCTATATTACACTGTTTCGAGATTATTTGTACGCATTCATGGACTCCATCTACCCCAATAATATAATGCATCCTATGATCGGACCGAAGATGTCCAGAATTCTTTTGAGGTGAGTTTTGGTAACTTCCGATGTGACCCCAATCGAAACTTCATATAACAAAGTCGAATGCAAGATATTGCACCTTCAAATATCAGGGACATGTTGACAGTTATCGCAACAGTATGGCAAGAGACCTATCCAATGACATTTGGCACGTTAATGTATTCTTCCTCAATGCTGAATCTATGAGGAACAAATACAAAGCAATACCAATGATTTCTGCAACCTTACTTACTACCAATCATAAAAAAGGTCATTAAATTTCTATGCAAAATAATATAATCTTATGAATTTTAAGGGCGGGTGAAACTTCATGTAGGACCAACGGTCATCTAGCTCAGAGGAGTAGACTGGGCTCCATAGCGACATATGCAGTCAGTACGGTGATGAGACGGCATCACTATACGGTAGGCTTCCTAAACTGAAGGCAACGGCCAGGACGGAGACTAAACGGCAACGTGTTGGCGACTAAGGCGATCTTTCAATTTGGCACTTGGCTGTACTCTGACCAGTAGAGGGACGGCCTCCACCATGACTACTTGCCAAAGACACGTTACGCATGAATAAATACTTGGATGAATATGGGAAGGGAACTGGCCAGGTTCTCAGCTACGCAATGACCTACGACCATATTCGGTCATTGGACTGATGGTGATGAGTATAATGGTGAACATTTTTTTTTTTACTAATCTGCTAACAGACGACTGAACTGGCCACGTTCATCTCCAATTTTTGAGAGGTATTTTACTTGATTTTAATTTCTTAATTTTTACTTTTATGTTTTCTTTCTTTCTTTCTTTCTTTCTTTCTTTTCTTCTGCAAATGTTGAGTGAAAAAACTGTAGAAACTTCTAAAACTTTCGGCCTGGTGGGATATGTATGGGAAGGAATTCAACCCACCGATACTCTACCCCGAGAGAGTAGATTAAACGGACGAAAAAAAAAGCAAGAGTTGTTGGTTGGTCAAACATTTGATTGGCAGGTCAAACATTTTGGCTAGCTAAAAATTGTTTGCTGGAATTGTAATCCCAGCATAAACAGTTCGAGAGTCGGCTGAAAAGTTCTTTGGCTGACCAAGATACTCTCATGGAATGTGATCAAATGATTATTTTTCAGCATTCCTTTTGTTCCTATTGCAGTGTACACACGTCTTCCAATAGTGTTGTAGTGTTTGGATTCCATTGCTGAAGAAGTTTTCATTTTCTTTGTAATAAAAGTCATCAACAGTAGATATGACGTCATCATCACTGCGATACAGGTTCTCAGCCAAGTGATTTTTCATGTTGAGTAACAGATGATAATCAGATGGGCCAACATCAGAAGTGGGAGGGTAATCAATATACAGCAAACATTGAAACCAAGGATTTATGCGCTGGAGCAATGTCCTAATGTGACAAAACCCCTTTCGTCAGTTTTCCTGGCTATTTAGTCTTGATAACCTTTCTTAACTGCCCCAGCAAGTTAGCATTGTACTCTCCATTGATGGGGTGATCCTTTTGTCAATAAACCCAATAACTTTCGTATTCCAAAATACCGAGGCTATCACCTTCCCTACAGATGAAACGGCCTTGGTTTTCTTTGGTGCAGGCGGGGAGGAGTATTTCCACTGCGTGGATCGTTTAAGCTTAAAGGGACGAACCTAACACTTATCATGGGTTAGGAAACGCTCAAGGAAACCAGCTGAATCTCCTTCAAACAATGTCAGATTTTCTCCTGTTGTGATCAGCCTGGTGCGCTTTCAGTTGTCAGAAGACGTGACATTCACCAAGAAGAAACCTACGTCCTTTCAAGTTCATTGTGCATAATATTATCAACTCTCACAGGATATACTAATAGAATTGGATATTTGGATTATAGTCAATCTCCTGTCATTAACCATTATATGGTGAAATGTTTTTTTTTCGGTGGTGGCACTTGAAGGACGTCCAGACCTTGGGTAATTTTCAAGACTCTCCCTTCCGCTCCTAAATTCAGCTGACCACTTTTGCACTGTTGACAAAACTGGAATGTCACCCCCTAATGCATCAACCACGTCAATATGAATGTTCTTGGGCTCTGTAGTCTTTTTCCACAGGTACTTGGTGGTACCTTTTGTCCATATTCAAGTCGCTACTAGTTACATTTGAAGTCTTCTTTGAACAGTCAGATATCAATTTACATGCGAAGAAAGACTGCAGTTATTAATAAGAAGAGTTGAAATTAATGCACGCAAGATTTCACAGTTCTAGCATCACTTCTTCATAGTCAGTCTATGAACTTTTCAGTTCAGCCTCGTGACTCAGGCGGCTCATCTCCCTGTTTGAGAGGTATTTTACTTGATTACAAATTCTTAGCTTTTACAAATTTTATTGTAGCAGAATTTTCATTTATTTAAAAAATTCCAATTTGGTTTTATTTACATATAGTTTCTTCCAATTTAATTAACATTAAACTCTTTGATTAGTATGAGTTTATGTTTAATCAAAAGTCACTTCAGATAAAATTCCTTGAAATATTTTATATAGTTTTCGTTTGATGATTTTATCAAAGCCACAAATTACATTTCGTGATATGAAATTGATAATTGACAGACTGAATTTTTATGTATGGCGTGTAAAGCGTAATATTTACTTAGTTTTTACGACGATGGAGTTTGCCGTCATTCCATTTGTTACAATGTTTCCATCTAGAAGCGTAGAGTCTCATGGGTATTATTTAAATGTGGAGGATGACGCGCAAAATTGAAAGAGACAATTTAATTCCAATATAGTTATCGAGAGAATTCAAGACCAAGTAACAAAAACAAGAAAAAGCAACAGCACAACAATAGACATTGGGAGACAAATTAAATCAAAATAATTTTAAATACGTAAGTTAACAGCCACCACACGCGCGCGCACACACACACACACACACACACACACACACACACACACACACACCTTTTACAATAACAATAACAAAAGTATTGAATAAAGAAACATACATAAAAGGCTACAAAAATGCAAGGAAGAAAGGAATGGACGAATGAACGCGTTCATTGCTCTCGTTGAATTCATTATTGAGCAAAGGATCCGAACGTAAATACTAAATCTCGCTGATGTGAAGCTATTGTATTGTGGAAAAAGAGGAAACGAAGGAGGAGAGAGACAAAGCAATGATTATTGTCATTCGAGATGCCACATTACAATTGGATTCGCCTCTTTAATAATAATGTTAACTTGGTTTTTTCATCCCTTTTTATTTTACTGTTAGTTTATTTGTCTTTTTAGCACTGAGCGAGCGACCTCGTCCATCTTGTGCTTTATATACGTAAACTGTTGCTCTTCATAGATTATTAAATTGTGATAAATTGAGAACAGCAAATGGGGAGAAAAAGAATTAAAAGAATAGAAAGAAGAGGATAAAAAAACAAAAAGTGAGTTAAAGAAAAGGATAAATAAAGATAAAAAGGAAAAAGAAGTTAAAAATAAAGGAACAAGAGCGAAAAAGATGGACAGGAAAAGAAAAAAAGAAAAACAAACAAACAAAAGGAAGTAAAAATAAAGACAAAATGAAAAGAAAAAAGAGAAAATAAGAAATTGGAGGAGGAGAAAAGAAGAAAAAGAAATAGGAGTAGATTGATAGGAAAATGGAGACTTCGGTTGCCTCGATGTGGAGCCATGGTTAGTAAGTTAGTACCATAGAGCTTTACTAGTCCTGACTGAGTGCTTTATACTTATGGTCGTGTCCTGTAATAAGTTATATATTTTTATGAAGAATTTAATGGAAAGAATTAGAAATATCGAAATAAAAAAAAAGGAGAAACAAAGAACCGACCAAGAATAAAGGATATAAGACGTTGGCCAACAAATTCACGCATGCGCATAATCACAATAGAGATATCACTATAAAATAAAATAATGCAAATAAAAGAACTCGGTTGATGGTCTAATTTTTTTTTAAATTGAAGATTAGGCATATCTGCTGGGCGGCTACTGCTGGCCAGTTAGGGCGCTGAATCACCAAAGTTAGATCATTCATAGAATCACACAAGGATATCTATAGGGGCACCTCGGCGTTGTGTAATGGTTAGCAAGCTTGTCTCGCTAGATCAGTTACGACTGAAAAGTGAGTTCGATACTCACTAGGTGCCCCATACTTTCGGTCTTCTGCCACATCTAAGCTACGCTTAGAAAATAATCACAAGGATATCTATAGTCAGAGCGCGTTATTGGAAATAAAAATTGAAAGAGATGAACAGCAGCAGTTTTGAATTAATATCAAATGGTTGTGAATTTCTCTCTTCAACGAGTAAGTAGTGACCCTTTTAAAGCGGACCTTTCATACTCCTTTGAGCGATGCTATACTCAATTTTGTAAATAGATGAATACTATGTTCTGTCTACGTTGTTCCATTCCACAGCTACAGGTTAAATAGCAGAGTTATTGTCTAGGCAATCAGTTTAGGAGAAGGAAAACTCTGAATTCAAAACCAGCCTAAAGAGTGATAGGCTACGTCTAGTTATCTTGATCCTAGACATACCGTTGCTAGGACGGTTGCAATACATGTAGTGTCCCTACCACTCCGATGAGTCACGAGATTTGTGACGTGACGTGACGTGACATGATGTTTTTTTATAATATCGTTTGTTTTCTTTGGTGCCCTTCTCAGAGCAATCATGCACAGTGGTATTTATCTTGGCAAATTTCTTTTGTTTCCTCGGGTTTTCTTATTTAACATTGTCAAATCACAAATATGCAGAAGGACTTCACACACACTCGAAAAATATATACAGGATTGGACAAAAGTAGGCTTACGGTTAATTTGTTTCTATTTGTTTCATGTTTTAGATCTAATTCATGTTTTAGATCTATTTGTTTCATGTTTTAGATCTAATTCATGTTTTAGATCTATTTGTTTCATGTTTTAGATCTAATTCATGTTTTAGATCTATTTGTTTCATGTTGTAGATTTAATTTATCTAAATCATAATTAACTTCACCGAACTGTTCTTTCAGCAAGATGGATCACCTCCCATTATGCTTTGACAGTAAGGGTCTACCTTAACCAAACCTTTCCACAGCGTTGATTCAGAAAACTGGGCAGCATCGAATGACCACCACGTTCATCTGACCAAACACCAATGGATTTCTTTTTGGGGGGCGGGTGTAGTAAAGAACAAAGTTTATAAAAGAAACCCCCATACAATGGACAAATTAAAAATACTTCTCAGAATTATTTACTGAAATTGATTCAGATCGGGATTTGTGTCATGCTGTGTGCCATCGTGTTCTGGAGAGGTTCAAACAATGTTCTGGAGAGGTTCAAGCAATGTTCTGGAGAGGTTCAAGCAATGTTCTGGAGTGGTTCAAGCAATGTTCTGGAGAGGTTCAAGCAATGTTCTGGAGAGGTTCAAGCAATGTTCCAATGTTGAAGGAGGAGATTTCGAGCATTTAAGAGATTAAAATGTGCTAAAAATGTAATCAAAGTACCAAACAAATATACACAAATAGTTTTGAACAAATGATTGTAACAAATAAATATAAACGTAACAAAATGTTTGAAAAATGTAAAGTGCTTACCTACTAAATGTAAGCCTACTTTTGGACCACCCTGTATAAATTTTTTTTTTCTAAAAATTTAAACAAATAAAGAAAAAAATAACTGACAATAAATAATTTTCTATGATAAATGCAATAGCTTAAGTGTGATAAAATGCGAGAAACATACTGCTGCATTATAGACTAGAAATTATTGACAAAGAGTGAGTTAGAGTTGAACCTAAAAATAACTCAAGTTTTACTAATATAGTCCCGTAAAACGAAGGAATACCTCCAACCCTTTTCTACCGACTAGCTGGTTATATGAGTGTGCCATTTGTAAGAAAAAACAAATGACCTCATGTCTGTACAGAAACCAAAGTGAAGCTGCTACAAGTGGTTAAGTGAATCTTAATCTTAAATTATTTGCAGCTATGGTCTGAAAATTATCTACAACATGACCGAAAGTTTCAAAATACACAGATCACCTCGAAAAATTCAGTTTAGCAAAAAACTACGTCTTGATTACCGTGGTTGAAGATAGGCACAGGGAATAGATTTTGTGAGAAAAATTTTAAAACACTGAGAGCAAATTTAGATAAAAACCCCTTGTTTGCTGAGAATGTCTGTATACAAAGGAGATAGAGATTTAACAAATTCTTTCTAAGTACTGATTATTGGATTGAACTTTATAAAAGTAGAATTAACCACATTTTTGCTTGTTAATTTAGATATTGATTACCTACAATCATATTGTTCGGAAATATTTAATAATTTACAGTTCGAAATAGTTAAAGCGAGTTTGAAGGGAACGCACGTCTTAAAATTCCATAGCTTGGGGTGAGTTTTTGAGCTGCTAAAGAGAAAACGAATGATAAAATCATTCAGAAAGAGAAAATTACTCAGCACAACAAAAGAGAAAAGCCACTCTATTCTCTGAGTGAATCTTTTTTTTTCTGGGTCGGTACTAAAAGCGTAAACAAATTCCATTCATTACTGCAATGGAATAGATGTACCTAGATGCCTTGCCTGCTAGTCTTTTAAGTGAGTCATTTCCTTTTTTTTGAGTGTTTGTTGAGAATTGTTGAATGCGATGTTGTTTTGATGAGATTTCAATTGATGAGGACAGAATGAGCAGCGATGAATGAAAAGCTGAAAAAGAGCCGAAATAACGAACGATTGCAGAGAGAAAGAGAGAGAGAGAGAGAGAGAGAGAGAGAGAGAGAAAGAGAGAATTAAAAAAGAGGAAAAGGTAGACGAGAGAAAGAGCGAAGAGAAAGAGAGAGGGAGATTTTGTATGTATGTGTGTGTAAAAGAAGACGAGAGAGATAGAGATAGATAGATAGATAGATAGATAGATAGATAGATAGATAGATAGAGAGAGAGAGAGAGAGAGAGGCAAAAAGAGGAAACGGTAGAAGAGAGAAAAATAGAGTAGAGGTAGAGTAAGACTAGCTTAAAAAAGAAAGAAGGAAGAGAGAAAAAAGGACGTGAAAAGAAAGAAAAAGAGAGAGTGAAAGAGAAAGAGAGTAGGTTAAGAAAAAGAAAAAAAAGGAGAAAATGGAAAGGGTAGAAAAGAAAAGGCGATGAGAGAAAGAGAAAGAGGAATGAAGTACCTCAAGAAAAAAGAAAACAAGGAAAGGTAGAAGAGAGAAAATATTTAGAGGGAGAGAGATAGAGGAAGAGAAAGAGAGTAGTTTAAGAAAAAGTAAAAACAGAAAAGGGTAGAAGAGAGGGAGATGAAGAGGAGGAGGAAGGGAGTAGGTTGATAATGTTGAAAAGAAATAACGAGGTAACTGTGTGAATTGACAAAGTGACTGAGTGAGGTAAGTGATAGAAAAAAACATGTCTGAGAAGCAGGGGTATAAAAGAGAAGAGAATTTGTATTCCTGTGTGCATAAAAGGACGAGAAAGAGAGAGAGAGAGAGAGAAAGAGAGAGAGAGAAAGAGAGAGAGAGAAAAAGAGAGAAAGAAAGTGAGAAAGAGAGAGAGAGAAAAAGAGAGAGAGAAAGAAAGTGAGAGAGAGTGAGAAAGAAAGTGATAGAGAGTGAGAAAGAAAGAGAGAGACAGAGTCGTGAAAAAGGGAGGTGAATATATTTATGAAGGACGATAATAACTGAAGAGGAAATAAAGAAACTGAACTAAATACGAAAAATGCATAAGAGAGAAAGCAAACAGGAAAAAAGAAGAGAGGAAGAACGTGAGGAATAAGGTATAGATAAGAGAGAATAAATAGTCTAAAAGAGAGAGAGTGAGAGAGAGAGAGAGAGAGGGAGGGAGAGAAAGAAAAAGAAAAAGAGAGAGAAAGAAAGAAGAGAATATTAAAGATAAAAAAATAAAAGAGTAAAGAAGTGGATTAGATTAATAAGCTATAATTTGAAATTGCATTTTGGTCAAAAGGATTTAACCAAAAGAAAGTATGAGATGGAAGAGAGAAAATAAAGGAAAATGGGAAAGAGTAAAAAGAAAGACGTGAGTGAAAGATGGTAGTGAGAATGCTGGTTAAAGGAAGATAGAATGAGATCGTAAGAGAGAGGACGAGTATTTTGAATTACCTCATTGGCTCAAATTTACATGCAGCACTCTTTATTAGATCGATGATCATTTTTTTTTTTTTCGTTTCATTACGTCGGAGTTACGCAGCGTATCGACACACAGCTATCATCACACGTCAATAAATTCTCATGGAAAAGGACAATAAAAAAATTCAAGTGTTTATCTGAAATGAAAGGGAAGGAAAATTAACAGATTGGAAAATTAAATAGAAATCTAATTGAATTTAAAATGACATTTTCTCGCAAAAGGAAATAAAAAGATTCGCATTCTCTTTGAATATTTGTTGTTGTTCGCTCTGTCCTTGCCGTTCTAGCTTTCTATCAAATCACTTCTATCTTTCAATCGATGGAGAATTTTTAGTGCTGAAGAGGTTCGAAAAGTTACCTTACAAGACATTGATGAGTTCGATTCTGATTGGCTACTTTACCTTGTGCGAGATTAGTCTGATGTTAAAATTATCTATCTATCTATCTATCTATCTATCTATCTATCTATCTATCTATCTATCTATCTAAGTTCATAGCTTTATATTTCACTCTGTTTCTATCTATATAAGTTCATAGCTTTATATTTCACTCTGTTTCTATGTATATAGATTTATAGCTTTATATTTCACTATCTATCTATCTATCTATCTATCTATCTATCGCTTTATATCTCACCATTTCTATCTATATAAGTTTCTATCTATCTATCTATCTATCTATCTATCTATCTATCTATCTATCTATTCTTACAATTAAAACCAAACGATATTTAAATTATTGCAATACCTATTAGATAGATTGATACACAATAAAAGTACAAGAGCCAGAGGGTTACTGTATGGGGTTATATTAGCGTAGGAAAAGACAAGCGTTAGGAATATGGAGCTGAAGTAGACTTTAGAAGGAACCGGAAACACAAAGGTAAACAGAAAACAAGATAAACCTCCACTCCTGTTAAAAAAAGTGGGGAAGAGCTCGAACCGGACAGTAGGCGAACCTATCTATCTATCTATCTATCTATCTATCTATCTATCTATCTATCTATCTAGGTAGATCCTCTTCTTGAAAAAATTGAGACATATTGCAACAATTTAAGCGTCGTCTGGTTTTAATTGAAAGAAAACAGCACATATATTTGTGTCTTAAAGCAAATTTTAGAAGTTTCTCTTTTTGGAATTTTATCATTTTCTCAAAGATCTTCCATATATGGTAATTATATAATTCCTGCATTTACTAAAAAAAAAAAATAACAATTTTCTATTTAAAAATCTTCGGTTCATTAGATTCGGAGAATCTCTACATTTCTCGATTATAAAGAAACGTTCATTTAAAGATTCCGATAAAAAGAAAAGTAATATAAATAAAGAATTAAAGAAAGATTTTTTTATTTTTTTCTTATTTTTATTTTCAAATTTAGAGTATATTTCTACATCGGATGAAATTACAAATTATTTCAATTTTGCGGGTAGATATGTAACACAAATGTAATTATCTTAGTTCCTAAAATGCATTTTATTTACATTTCTTCAAAGGAAATAAAGTGGGTATGATTGATTATAAAATTATTTCCACAGATCTTTCTTAAAAATACCCATTTCATGAAAAAATGAATTCATAAATAGTGGAAGCAATGAGGACCTTTGTAAGTTTTGTACGAAACTAAATAACAGCGAACGTTTTTTACGATATTTTTCTTTGTGTTGAGAATAACATGTACTGTAAAAGGATGAGCCCAAAATGCGATTTGTAAGTCGGGGACATTAAAATCAAGCATGTGGGGAAGTTTAAATATCTGGGAAGTGTTTTGACGGAGGACGGTATGTGCGATGCTGAGATCCGAAGACGGATTGTGATGGCTAAGGATGCATTTCAAAAGCTGGGCAGAGTACTGCGAGACAAAGAAAAGAATACTGAGTTGCTACGTAACATCTGTCCTCCTATACGGCAGCGAATGTTGGACGGTCGCCACAAAGATGAAAAAGAGACTCGAAACAGCGGAGATGTGGTTATACAGAAGGATGCTAAGGGTATCATGGAGCGAGCGTGTGAGCAACGATGAGGTCTTGGAAAGGATGCAAACAAGGAGAAAACTTTTACTTAACATGAGGAAGAGATGAAATTTCTGGGACACGTAATGAGAAACGAGGCCCTGGAGAATCTGATACTCACAGGTCGAATAGAGAGAAAAAGGGAAAGCAACACATGGCATACCTAGCAGGCTTAAGCAAGTGGATAGCAGAACGTGGTCTTGGGGAGGTGACAAAGGCACAAAACTTATTGAGAGCTACAAGGAATAGGAGGAAGTGGAGAGCCATGATTGCCTACGCCCTGAAAGGACACGACACATAAAAAGAAAAAAAAGAAATTAATACAGAATCTGATAGAATTTATGTCCTGAAAAAATCTTTCGAATACGCCTTTTCTCGTTTCCAAACATTTGTCTTCAAAATGATGCACGTCATAAACACACGTCTAGCAACATTCCAAAAATCACGGTCCTTGAGTGACAAACATTCCACTGAAATCAGATAATTAGCAAATATTTGCTAGATTCCGAACATCTGGATATTTTACGTAAAACGACTTTTGCGTTAAAGGTGCACACGCTGTTTTATGCAGTTTCAATTTTCAAGCACAAATATCTCAAATTCTCTATTTGTCTTTATGGTAAGTGACACCACTCTGCCCTTGACGTCATAGAAATGTCCAGGCCAATGTTAGTTGAGATCTGATAAGTCAGTGTGAATTACCGGAGTTTGAAACTAGCATGATAGTGGGGGCTAGACGGATGGGTCATACTATTTCTGAAACTGTAGGAAGATTTGACATCTCTCGATCTACGATGCTACGTGTGTACGAGAATACACAATGGAAGTTATTATTGTTTATTGTAGATAGCGCAGTGGTTCCTTACAGGTCTTTAATCTTCACAACCAGAAAGGTCTATCCAGAATTGTCTGTGGTTACTTGCTGAATTCTGCGCTTTGTTTCAGATAGAGTCGTTTTCTGAATGATTTTAATTCGCTCTTCTTCCCTATCGGAGGTCTACGTTGTCCACGGTTTCATAAGGTTCCGTCGTTCAGAGGCTATTTTTCTTAAATATATGGGCCATCGGTTGACTTTAGTCTTATCATCCACACATGGCATACTTAGATGGGTGACCGCGTGTGAATTCATGTGTTATAAGCTTGGGTGTACGGGTGGTGTAATGGATAATGGCACGGAATGGTTAATTGGAGAACTGAGTTCCCATTACCGTTGGGTTCCTTATATTTAGAGGCGCGATAACCCTTGGGAAAGGTAGAAACCCAACTCTTCTCCCCCAGCTATGAGTTAATTAGTAGGAATTGTATCATTAAACCATTATTATCTCCCCTCATAAATCTTTCACTGTAAAATACTTTATGGCTTTAAATAACCTGAAAGGTGTCGATAAGCCATAGAAAACGAATTAGGCTACACATGTCCTGTCCAGATCTTTTGCTTCAATGCTTGTGGCTTTCTTGGGGACTTCAGTGCTTGTTATGAAATCACTCCAGTACATATTATGAATGATGGAATCGATTGAGAGGGATCAGGATTCGGTCGTAATGAATGGTAGACAGTTTAAGAATTTTGTAATCTTTATTGGGATTATTATTGTTCCAAATATATTTGAAAAGATTACCAATGACTTGTTTGCCTTTGTCAGTCAGTTTTTTTTTTTTTATCTCTATGTCCAGTTTAGTATCAGAGGATATGACACAACTCGGGCAGCTGAAGTTCTGGGCTGTTTCCAGTTTTGTCAGTTATAATACTTGTATTAAATTATTTTGGGTGAATTGAAACGTAATTGGAATGTTTACGTGATTTTATTTTCAGCCAGTATCAATGTACAGCTTTCTAATTCACTAATAAATATACAAATTAGCAACTACATTGTTGATGACAAATTGCCTAAATTCCTTCATTTGAACTTAAAGTAAATTATTTGTAAAATAGATCATTGCAGTTTTATGTTTTCCTCTTAACCGGAAATTGCGGAAGATTGATATCTATTTTTTAAAAACTTAGATGTGTATTCTTCCTTATGCGTTTTCCGCTGTTTGATGTTATTCTCGTAAAATCACGTGCAACTTTGCTGATTCTCGCTGTAAGCTTTACATTTCTATTTTAGCATATGAATACCTTGATCTAGAATATTGTTACGATATTGCCCCAAATCAAATTGCATACGTATACGAAGTGATAAGAAGACCTCTTCAGGCGTAGACAAACATATACGTATGACAAATTATGCTCATGTATACAGGAATATATGTAATTTGTTCCTTTCAATTTCCAACTGGAAACAACAAAAGGAAAGACAATTTGAATAGATGATGCATTTTTTTTTAAAATTGTAACATTAATTTTATCAAATCGAATAATAAGCAATTTACATCAATTCAAATACTCATAATATCCGTTGCAGAACAAACATATTTACACAAAACGTATGTGTAAATATATATATATATATATATATATATATATATGAAAACTGTCACCTTGTTGTAGAGTATGGCCATGAAAAGATATGGTAAAACCTTGTGCTTTGAACGGATGTGACTTTTTAAACCGGACAAACTTTTAAAACCTAGGACACAAAGTTAGCAGAGATTTGAATCATACATTTTGTTGTCATTAAGTTTACCTTAGTAACTTTTTGTACGTCTTTTCTCTCCATCAACTGTTTTGCAAACGTTTCTGCAAAAGTGACATAAATTCTCAGTAATTAATGAGATTTTGTAGTTGTTCGTATTAAAATCATAAAGATTTTCCTATTTCCATATATAATCATGGAATGTATATACATAACAAGAATATCCGACGTTGCGCAGACCATGTTCATTTATTTGTTTCATTGCACTATGCAGTCGTTTCTTTTTTGAGAGGGATATTTTCGCATACGGTTTGGTGAACATGTAATATTTAAAGCTATTCGGTGAGTTTAAACATCCTGATAATCATTTATTACATATTCGGCTTGTTATAATATTTGTTAGCTTCAAAATATACTATTCGAAAACCTAAACTTCCG